GTCCCAGGGACCTGGGGAGCAAGGGGCACAGGAGATTGGGAGGCAGAGCCTACTTGCCCTACCTGCCGAGGTTGGGGCCCCAGGCACACCCCCTTCTATTCCTCTCTGGGTCCAGCTGGTTGGGGCAAGCGCTTGCCTAGGGCTTCAGAATAAAAAGGGGAGGAGCTCAGTGCTGGGTTTCCAGACCCCAGGTTCCCACCCAGGCGGACTCAGTGGGGCAGGCTGGCAGCAGTGGGAGGGGACCCAAGTGAGTGAGCATATGGGGGCAGCTGTACCTGAGCCTCACAATCACAAGAGGGCAGGACACACAGTCCACACTGCTACACGTCATCACACCAGGCTCACTGTCCTACAGATGCATGTGGCCTCAATCCCAGGCACACACCATTATTCACTGTCACACACGAATTCAGCTCAGTCATGGCCACCCACTGTCATGCACAGGCATGCACCATCACTCAGAGCACTGACACAACCAGGCCCCTGCTGTCACGCACAGGCACACAGCCCCAGACGTGCACCGTCACACGCAAGACACACACATGGACATTTCCAGTCTTCCACTCCTTGGGCTGGGAAGAGGTGATACTATCCAGTCCTCCTGCCTGGAGCACTTCATGTGGCCCAGACGGAGGCAGATTTTAACCAGACCAGCCTCCTCTATCAGAGCATTTTACAGCTCTGTGTGCTCCATGTGCACACTGTACACACACACACACACACACACACACTCATGTATGTGTATATATATATATATATAAAAGGCTAGTATGCTAAGTGTCCGACTGTCTGACCAGTCATTATGATGTGCACTGACCACCAGGGGGCAGATGCTTAATGCAGGAGCTGCCAAGCTGCAGTGACTTGGCAGTGGTGGTTCTTGGGTGACGCACCCCAAAACCAGAGAGGAGAGAGCCTGATTCCTCATGGGGCTGTGAGATTCCACCTTCGGCTGTGAGTTATGTTGTTGCTGGGGCACTGTCGGCCCCGAATCTGGTTTACTGCTCACTTGTGTTTGTGTTCCACACCCTGTATGACAGCAACTTTGCAGAGTGCCCTCTCGCACTCCTGGACTCCTCAGGGGATGTTGGAGCGCTGGTTTTGGCCTGATCCCTGCAGACCAGGCCGAGGGACCCCATCTGCTAGAGGGACCCTGCTCACTCTGCCATGGTGTCCCCCACGTGCAGCTGGCCGGGGAGGGACCGCGGGAGGTTGGCTCCAGGGCATGCCGGCCCTTCTCACCCAGTCCCGCCCTGCCAGCCACCTTCTAATTAATTTCCTTTCAATGTGCACGAATCTGTGCACCAGGTCGGTAGGGTAATATATAAAAGCAGACAACCTCCCTGGTCATGGCATGAGTATCCTTACAGGACACACGGTGTCCCCCAAGTGCAGCCAGCTGGAGAGGGACCGTGAGAGGCTGGCTCCAGGGCATGTCCAGCCCATCTCACCCAGTCCTGTCCCGCCAGGCACCTTCTAATTAATTTCCTTTCAATGTGCACAAATCTGTGCACCAGGCCACTAGTGTAAATATAAAAGCAGACAACCTACCTGGTCATGGCATGAGTATCCTTACAGGACACATAAGCAGCTATAAATACTCATAAGCACACACGTACACTTGTACACATACTCTTACATGCATACACAATCATGCATACATACAAGCATATCTAACAGCTATATATACAGTACATACAAACAGGATTCAGATGCAGTCCTACACATCATAGAATATGATGCATACACACGTGTGCACAGGCCTGCATATACTGCTTCATGCACACACAGAGACACACATTCAGAGCAGCCCCTCCTTTCTGCAGAACCCCCACTGAGCCTGGGTGGCTGCTGATAGAATGGGGAGGGAGAGGCTGAAGCCGACCACCCAAGTTCTGGTTCAGTTTCCTTCATCTGACCCGTTCTCCTCTTCTACTAGCACTGCTGTCTGCTGTGCGGATCAACGGGGATGGCCAGGAGATCCTGTACCTGGCAGAAGGTGACAATGTACGACTGGGCTGCCCCTACATCCTGGACCCTGAGGATTATGGTCCCAGTGGGCTGGACATCGAGTGGATGCAGGTCAATTCAGAACCTTCACATCGGGAGAACGTGGTGAGTTCTGGGCACATGGTTCCCCTTACCCTACACTCCATGGTCTACCTGATGGGCAGCCAACACTCTGAGGGAAGAGGAGGGCAGATAAGCAAACCAAGACCTTGAACTTCCCCCATGGCCTCTTGTGGAATGGGGCAACAGGGATGAGAGCTCTGCAACCACTCCAAAGGTGTGGTGCCTGCCTTCAGGAAGTTCCCATGCCCTGGTCAGGTGGCTCAGTTGATTGGTGCATCGTCCTGTATACCAAAAGGTTGTGGACTTGATTCCTGCTCAGGGCACATACCTAGGTTGTGGGTTCCATCCCCAGTCAGGGCATGTACAGGAGGCAATGGATCAATATTTATCTCTCACATCAATGTTTCTCTCTCTCCCTGCCTCTCTTTCTAAAATCAATAAACATATCCTTAGGCGAGAAAAAAAAAAGAAGTTCCCAACTCGCCCTTATGGGTTCCAAAGTACTTGCTCTTACTTGGCCCCACCCATTTTGTAAGGGGTCAGTGGACCAGGCATCATCATTCCCACTTTTCAGCTGAGAAAAACGAGTCTCAGAAAAGCTGTGACTTGCCCACCTGGCCCTCCTTGGCCCTGCCTGTCTCACCACCCTGTTTTCTGCTCTTCCTCGAAGTTCCTTAGTTACCAGGACAAGAGAATCAACCATGGCAACCTCCCCCACCTGCAGCAGAGGGTCCGCTTTGCAGCCTCAGACCCCAGCCAGTACGATGCCTCCATCAACCTCATGAACCTGCAGGTCTCTGACACAGCCACCTATGAGTGCCGGGTGAAGAAGACCACGATGGCTACCCGGAAGGTCATCGTCACCGTCCAAGGTATGGCCACTCTCCTCTGGGCTCCCCTTCCCTAGACTTCAGAGCCAAGGCTAGCATGGCCACTCTGAGCCCACCTGTGCCTCTTGGCTGAGCCTGGCTCACAATGGCCTGCTTTCCTGCAGCTCGGCCCGCAGTGCCCCTGTGCTGGTCTGAGGGCCACATGGCGTATGGCAACGATGTGGTGCTGAAGTGCTTTGCCAATGGGGGCACCCCGCCTCTCTCCTACAATTGGGCCAAGATCAGTGGGCACACCCACCCCTACCGGGCAGGATCCTATCACTCGCAGCACACTTTCCAGTCTGAGCTGTCCTATCAGGAGTCATTTCACAGCTCCATCAATCAAGGTGAGGGGGACCGGGAAGAGGTGGGCGGGAGGAGTGGAAGATCAGGACTCTGGGACCCGCTGGAGCCTCCCTGAGCCATCGGTGGCACCAAGTCCAACCTAGAACCCCTGTGGGAGATGCCTCCTCTGAGCCTGTTTCAGAAGTTGCTATTGAGAGAAGAGGAGGCAAAGGGGTGGGGAAGGGTCAGTCCAAAGCGACGTGGTTAATTTGGCAAGAGCACAGTCTGAGATAGAAAGCTGAGCTGGGCTTGAGTGCTGGCTGGACCGCTGTCTACAAGAATCAGGCAAGTGGCTTAACCTCTCTGTGCCTTGGTTCATCCTGTATGAACAGGGAGTAAGAACATCTTTCTTCCAGGGGCCTGTGAGGATTAAATGGGGTGAAGTGTGCAAAGCTGCCGGCATACAGAGAAACCGGCTAGTACCCCAAATCAAGATGATTAGAGCTGGAGGCAGCCTTAGAACTCCTCTGCTGTAACCCCAGCTTCCCCACACAAAGGAGAGGCTGAGGCTCGGAGAAGGGGCATGTTTCTCTAGGGCAGTGGTTCTTAACCTTGGCTGCACATTAGAGTCACCTGGGAATCTTTTTAAAATCCTGATTTCGAGCAGCCAAGGTTAAACCACTGCGTCTAAGGGCACAGAGTGAATTAGTGATGTCTCGGTCCTGTTGCTGGTGAAAGGGTTCTTTTTTAATTTTAAATATATTTTTATTGATTTCAGAGAGGAAGAGAGAGGGAGGGAGGGATAGAAACATTAATGATGAAGAGAATCTTTGATTGGCTGCCTCCTGCACGCCCCCTACTGGGGATCAAGCTCACAACCTGGGCATGTGGACCCCCCCAACCTGAGACCCTTCAGTCCGCAAGCTCCATCCACTGAGCCAAACCAGCCAGGGCGGAGGGGTTCTTCCTAACTTCTCTGTTTCAGCAGGGGGAGGGTAACTCACCTGGGGTGTGGAGTGGACCTGAGTGTGTGCCCATACCGTCCCTCCTTCCACCCCACAGTGCCAGGGCTGGGGCGAGGCTCTCAGACACCAGGCCCCTCCACCTCACTGTAGCTCTGCCGTAACTTCAGTTTCAGGTGTGTTTAACGGCGATCTGGTGTTGAAGGACATCTCCTATGAGGACAATGGGCTGTACCAGTGCACGGTGGCCAACCACGTGGGCTACAGTGTGTGTGTGGTGGAGATGAAGGTCTCAGGTAGGTGTCCTGGCCTTGGAGGAACCTGAGCTGGAGCCTGAGCGGGCTCTGCTTGCCCATTGCATCCTGTGAAGGTCTCTGCCTAGGGCAGGTGGGAAGCCCCGGGAGAAATATGCAAACATAAGGGGTTAAGTTGCATCCCCCCCGCCCCCCCCCATCTTCCTCACGGAGTGTCCCAGGGCCCTGAGCCCTCTCCCACGGAGCTCTGCCCTGGGAGAGTCTGACCGGCCTCTCCTTCTCTCCACAGACTCCCGGCGTGCAGGCGTGATCGTCGGCGCAGTGCTGGGCTCTCTGCTCCTGTTGGGGTGCCTGCTGCTGGCCATCTGGGCGCTCACCTGCTGCTGCTGTGGGGGAGCTGGCGGGACCCGCGGGGCCTTCGGC